AATCAACCTTCATGGAAGTTCTATTGTTCTTAAATTTCTCACGCCACTGGAAAATCAGTTGCTAAATGCATTTTTCTCCAGCCTGTATCAGTAGAATACCCCTTTAAGTCAGAGTGTTCCTAAGATTTTAACAAAACTTGTAACTTGACTGAAATGTGACGTTCTCTAACAATTAAAAGATGAACAAGAAATCATCAACTAATAATCTAAATATCAAGTTAAATCAGTAAAACTCTCACAGACAGGTATATTAGTGGTCAAGCAATCGTAATAATGACAAAATTCTCATTTTATTTGCCACTTAGCGCAGGTTTTTTCTTATATCACGTATTAAGAATTAAAATGATAATGAACGAGTAAATGTCTCCCCTGCATTTTAAAACATCCTTTGCTATGGCAACTGCCATAAAGTTACTATCATTTATATTTAAAATATTTTTTTATTAAAAAAATTCAACAAGTGTCTATATTCTTATTTGTAATTTTCAACCACTTTCACTAATAAATAAATAAAATAAGAAGAAATTCCATGAACTTTCGGATCAATCCTCGTACATGTCAGTCATTAAATTTATATAATATACAGTATGCATAAGGGAGACCAAATGTATTATTACTGCATTAAGGAGACCAACCACTATCCATATGTAAATCAGTATTCAACCACTTTCACTAATAAAAAAATAAAATATGAAGAAATTCCATGAGCATTTGGATCAACCCTCGTACATGTCAGTCATTAAATTTATATAATATACAGTATGCATAAGGGAGACCAAATGTATTATTACTGCATTAAGGAGACCAACTACTCTCCACATGTAAATCAGTATTCAACTGCTTTCACTAATAAATTAAAATAAATATGAAGAAATTAGTGATGAGACATCGGTTAATTTTCATAATCGATCATCGGTTGGAATTGGTTACTGTCTCTGATGCGATTTCACCGATTATAATCGGATTTCTTCATAGTTTTGTATACAAAAAGCAGACTATTACAATAATTTCATTTATTTCTTTAACATGAATATATAAAATACATAATATATTATTTTCTTTGTTGTTTTGCTTCTTTTACACTTTCTAGACCTAAAAATATTTACAGTGGACACCCAACATGGCTGCCTAGCGGCAGAAAACGAACTTCAAAAAGTTGTGGGGGGAATTGATCACCTTTTATATTTAAGGTAAATGTTGACTAAGTTGCATATTTTATATCTCAAATAAAAGATACAATTAACATTTTTTGAATAAAAAGAATCAGCTGATTGATCAAACCAAAGAGCAAACACAGATTTGGCAGAAAAAAAATTCACCCGGGGGTAAATTGAATGGGTCGGTCGGGTTATTACAGGAAACAAAAATATTTTTTTTAGGCCCTATACAGTCAAACTTGACATAGCGGTCACCTTTATCCAGTGGTCACCTGTCCTATGCGGTCATTTTATTTCCTCCCAATGAATTTTCCTATATAATGTAACTCTATTAAGCAGTCACCTGTGTAACGCGGTCAGCGGTTGTCAAATTTCATGTAAAATTGCTGTTTTACCTCGTATATAGTGGCTATTTTGTCCGATCACGTGACCAGACCTAAAGTCAGGTGACTTTCAATTTTCTCACTAATGTAAATAATTGGTTCATGGAAAAAATAATTGGCCTTATTAAAAACCATTTAAAATATTGGATAATTTATTAATTTTTTTTAACAAAACAAAACAAGGGTGCTAGTGACCGAAAAGGTTATAAGGAAAATGGACGTACGAGAATCTTAATCTTATTGAATTGGAATCTGGTTTAAAAAATTCTGAGTGATACACAAGGCACCCTTATTTACCTATTCATTAATGGAGACAATAATTAGTTGTTTTCTAATTGTTAGTTCACGTTTGGCATGCCCAACTCCGATAGGTGTAATTGTGTAAACGCATGACAGGCCGTTTTTAACACATAGGAAACATATTATTTGTAGAAACCCTAATTAACTGTGTTTGTTTACACAATGTGTTCTGATTATCATGATTTTCAACTAGGTAAGATGACCGTTAGGATTAGTCACGCTTCATTGCTCACAACACCTGTGAATTTCATATATCAATTTGTATTATGCACTGCTTTGATAAACTGAGAATATTATAACTTGTCTGTTTGTTACGCTACAATTTATGTACAGTGGCGCCTCGTTTATCCGGACGCCTCTGTCCCCAACGAAATCGTCCGGATAATTGAATCACATCTCAAAAAGCACTCGCTCAGCATGTACATTGTATATATGCACATTCTTGTTTCAAATGTGACAGCAAAGAAAAAAAACTTCTAAATTATATTTTAGTTTATTGTTTTAAAAGCAGTAATTGATTAAAGAAAAAAATATGTTAAAATGTAATTTACACAATAAAAAAAATGGATGGGCAATTTTATGCTGAGACCTCCTATTTTAATTCGCCTTCTCTTTGGCCTGTAACTTTATGGGCTGAGCAAATTTTGATCTACAGTTGTTTTATTCAGCCATATATTATAATTATTGAAGCTCATATGATATGACAGAACTGTTCAGCATCATCATTAAAAATATTTTTTGCTACAGACGCTAAGTTTGAATTTCGATCATTAAAAATACCTTGATAAACGTAATCAACTTCTGTACGTAATGCCAGTTTTATATATCTTTTCTAAAGCAATGGACGTTTGTAAACGGTAGAACATTAAATAGAGATATTTCTTCAGTTATGTACCTTTCTAAACTGTCTTGTGGGGAAAAAAGCATTTCAAATACATTTACGTTTTTTAGAAATGGAAAATAGTATTTTAAACTAACGCAATCAACACATGATCAACATGATAAAGAGCATTACGAAATCGCTTGTTATTTATTGTTCATTTTATTTACAACTCTCCAAAATTCTCATGAATTTACCGATGTACATACGGTTAGCAATATGATTTTGAACAGATTATTATTTAATTAATGCACAGTGTAAGCTAAATATTAAAGATATACGTGTGATTGAATTAGGGTAAACACATGCTAATTATAGACGCTATTGTTTGTAGGTCACAGGGAACCGCCTTCAAACTGACTGCATGACCAATGTTTTTACAACAATTAACACAAATGCAAGCGAAGTGTGAAAAAAATCGTTTTTTGAAAAATTACCGTCCGGATAAACAAGTCATTTTTCAATAAACTATTACGTTTTGTAGTAGAAATTGACCGTCCGGATATGGAACGCGAATTTCCAGATTAATGAGACAAAATAACGTGGAAAAAATTGGTTCCCAAAATATATCGTCCGGATGGTGAAGCGTCTGGATAAATGGCGTCCGGATAAACGCGGCGCCACTGTATTGTTAAACATACAATTATCAAGACTAACTAAACTTGATATTTTAGAGGCAGTTTAGATAAAAAATAGAATTTATTTTATTCATGACATAACATGATAATGTAATTCTATAATAAAAGAAAGTTTTGTTGTTGTTTGGAGGGAGGATAATGCAATACCCTTATTAGACTCAATATATTTTTTGTTGGAGTCATCAAATTTATCTTGAACTTAATCTTGAGACTATTTAAATTTTTAAAAAATCTAACTGAGACCATTGATGTCCAAAACACATCTTTCTTTAATATTCTATGATGTACTATTTTTAAAACACAAAATTAACATAACTTGGAAAAGAATTTTTCTTGAAAAAAAGATGAACCTCTTTTCAATGGTCACCTCTCTATAAAGGTCACTTTTAATGGTTCCCGCAGGTGACTGCTTAATACAGGTTTGACTGTATATGCATCTTCGGTTCTTAATCACCTCTGCTTCGTGCTAGTTGGCTAGTATCAGATGCAGATGCCATTTTCTTTCATTAAGAAGAAATAAATTTTAAACCAGAAATGGATAATTCCGGAATGTATTGTATTAGAAGTATGTTTCCGATGATCGACTATGAAAAACTATAATCGATCATCGGAATCGGTAGCATTTTTTGTCGACAATCGATGTTTTCTGATTATTGGTACAACACTAGAAGAAATTCCACGAACTTTTGGATCAACCCTCGTACATGTCAGTCATTAAATTTATATAATATACAGTATGCATAAGGGAGACCAAATGTATTATTACTGCATTAAGGAGACCAACTACTCTCCACATGTAAATCAGTATTCAAAACTTGAGATTTTAATACTCTAATAATTAACATGTTTAGTTACATGAACTAAATCTATTTACCTTTGTCATAACACAAGAACTGTTTTACATTCAGCCAACTTTAACATTACACATGCATACAGTGTATGCCATGCATTAGGAAGACCAGATGCATTATTTCAACATTAAAGAAACCAACTACAATGGAACAATTAGACAGTATTCCAAAATGTTCATTCCAATACCATAGTAATTTCCCTTAATTTGTTTGTATTTAGATGACTTAAATCAATTTATCTCAGCCAGAATTGGAACAAAAAAGCTAATCATAAAAGTGGCCAAACACATGAACAGACAGATGGACATGATGATTCCTATGCTTATATTCACCCAAAGTTGCCAAAGTAGAGCAGATGCAGTGGTTAGAGCGTCTACTCTAGAGTCGCGGAGAAAGAAGCTGATCCTTACATCGCGAGTTTGAATCCCACTGTGGGACATGGAGACCAGTTCTTCAGATGAGACAGAGGTATTAACCGAGGTCCCATGTCACAGTAGGTGCTGGCTCGATAAAGATCCCTCAATGCTCAATGGCCGTAAGTGCTGAGTATAGGACAAAAATTTGCAGCTCTCCACCGACAAGTGGTGGCGTCTCCATATGAGTGAAAAATTCTCAAGAGGGACGTTAAACAACAAACACTATACACCCAAAACTTTGTTTGCAGAAGATTTTGTGATACATGCTTTACAAGTATACATATTGTTCTTAAGGGAATAAAAATGCTATAATATATCATTAAGGAAAGCAACTGATGTTAAATGTGCACTTCTAATTGAACTAAACAAAATTACCCTTTGTCAGAATGTAGATTTATAAACAGGAAGGCTGTTTTTCTTCATTTTTTCCATGTCAGATTCAGACTGTTCTTGAAAAAATTCTGGCATACACCCTGTAAAAGTGAACAGTGCAGATAATAAAGAGCTTCTAAATAAACTGCATAATATTTAAATGATCCACTTAAAAGGGATAACAAACGCATTTAACTCCATCAAGGAGACCAATTGATATCCATATATATATAAATCAGTACATGTATTTTAATTGTGATATTTTAATATCCTAGTAATTTACATGTTTAGTTTCATGAAATAAATCTATTTACCTTTGTCCAATGACCAATGAGCACAAGCACTGATTTTTCCTCTTTTTTCTTAACGGAATCACCAGGGCCAGTCTGGGGTCCATATGATTCTGGCATATGTACACTCTGTAAAATGCATATTTGTACCATGTACAGGCATATGAACAATATTTCTATACTACATACATCCATCATTAAACTTTAGTTAATAATCTTTTTTTTCCAAAATTCATTATTCATATATAGTGTTTTGCTGTTAGCAAAATTCAACAAAAACTATACCATATATATACTTGCCTATAAGGTGGTCCACCTATAAGTCAGTTGTATTTTTTGAGGTTATTTTGGAGGGATTTGCTATTGACTCGCTTATAAATCGGTACAACAATTGACAATTTCAAATCAATGCTCTGATGTTTTAACCTGGTTTCAAAATACTAATCTTTTTATGACTCACCTATAAGTTGGACATAGAGTATATACAGTACCTGCATTATACATGCATTAGGAAGACCAAATGCATTATTGCAATATTAAAGAGACCATTGTGGCAAATGAAATCAATGTATGAATTGTATTCAAAACTACGGGTGTACTAATTTGTCTGAAGTATATCATGATATAATGTGATACACAAAGACTTTAACAGGATATGTACATATACCCACATGCCTAAATGTAACAACAGTTTAAAAATGATTAATTTTTTTTTTTTTTTAAATTTCACTGTTTAATTTATGAAATATAAAATATTATTTAAAACCTACATTTATTAATATTGTGGGTCATCACCCCATTTTTTGTGAAGGAATCATGAAAGGCATTGTAATTTCAACTTGCTCACAGAGCAAGTTTTACAAAGAGGACCAACTCTTTATTCAAAATTTAGTTTACATACTTAATTTTTTAACAATTAAGTTTAATGGGTTTAAAAAACTTCAAACTAGGTCAAAATATTTTGCTTTCTTAATATGGACAAGAAATGTTCTTTTGCTTAAAATCACCTAACTTCAGATAAAAAAAAAATGCACTGTGCTCGTCCTCTTCAAATGCCTTGTTTGTAAATAACTGATAAAAGGTATATCTCACAAATGCTTCGTTATTACAAATGTCTTACAGTAAATATATGCATCACCACAACTTATTTCATTAGTAAGAATAAACCCTTAAGCAATGAATATAAATGCTGAAAAGTGGTGCATTGTTAGGAGTTGATCCTACTACACAAGTTTTGAGATTATCTCCATTGGTGCACTCTTTTGTTACAGAGGGGAGTTTTGTTTCCATGTTAGCAGGCAGGTGGGACAGTGGCATCTCAATATGAGTAAATGCTGAAATGATACATCGTGATATGTAGGTATATAGGGTTGGGATAATACACAGACCTTATGATATGATACATATAAAATTTCAAAATGATTTATGAATCATGATTGTCAAATGTCAATAAATAACACAATAAAGTAGATTCATCATTTAGTGTAATGGCTAAGCATTTAGATTTGTTGTGTTTCTCATATATTGAAACTTTGAATGACACAGTTTGAAAACAAGCTGTCTTCTCTGTAGTAGCGGCACTAGCTAGTGAAGAACCCAACATGTTCCAAAACTCGTAATAATGGCCTGATTTGAATGTGTAAGATACAGTTGCAATGCCAACCATGCCGAAATTTTCATTTGTTTATTTTTTAGTTATTTTATGAACCAGCAATAATTAGGGCTGCATCAAATATATCAATACATATCTAGATTAATGAATATATTGTATCAAAAACAAGAGGCCCATGGGCCACATCGCTCACCTGAGCACATTGGCTAGGAAAAAGCACAGATCACTTCAGTATTGAAAAGTTTAAAGGGGAGGGGGCTTGGATTTTGAACTACCTGAGGATGCTCCCATATCAATATAACAAGTGGCTTTACTGTTCTTGAGCAGAAGATTTTTAAAGATTTTTTTCCTATATATTCTCTTGTTAAAAATTTGATCCCCCATTGTGGACCCTCCCTAACCCCCCCCCCCCCCCATCATTTGAACAAACTTGATTCTACACTACCTGGGGATGCTTCCATATCAATATGACTAAACATGGCTTTTCTGTTGATGAAAAGATTTCTTCCTATATATTCCTATGTAAAAATTTGATCCCACATTGTGACCCCACCCTACCCCTGGAGTTTATGATTTGAACAAACTTGAATCTACACTACCTGAAGATGCTTCCATACCAATATGACAAAACATGGCTTTGCTATTCCTGAGAAGAAGATTTTTCAGGTTTTTTCCCTATATATTCCTATGTAAAACTATGATCCCGCATTGTGGCCCCTTCCTACCCCCAGGGGTCATGATTTGAACAAACTTGAATCTACACTACCCGAGGAAGCTTCCATATCAATATGACAAAACATGGCTTTGCTGTTGACCTGAGAAGAAGATTTTTCAAGTTTTTTTTCCCCTATATATTCTTATGTAAAACTGTGATCCCCCATTGTGGCCCCACCCTACCCCCAGGGGTCATGATTTGAAAAATCTAGAATCTACACTACCTGAGGATGCTTCCATATCAGTATGACAAAACATGACTTTGCTGTTCTTGAGAAGAAGATTTTTGAAGTTTTTTCCTATGTATTCCTATGTAAAGCTTTGATCCTCAATTGTGGCACCACCCTAACCCTGGGGGTCATAATTTGAACAAAGTTAAATCTACACTATCTGAGAATGCTTCCATATCAATATGACTTAACAAGGCTTTGCTGTTCTTGAGAAGAAGATTTTTCAAGTTTTTTTTCCTGTATATTCCTATGTAAAACTTTGATCGCCCCTTGTGGCCCCACCCTACCCCGAGGGGTCATGATTTGATACAAACTTGAATCTTCGCTACCTGTGGATGAATCCACATCAATATGACTAATTGTGACTTTGTTGTTCTTGAGAAGAAGATTTTTCAAGATTTTTTTCTACATATTTCTATGTAAAATTTTGATCCCCCATTGTGGCCCCACCCTACCCCTGGGGGTCATGATTTGTACAAAATTAATCTACACTACCTGAAAATGATTCCATATCAATATGACTAATTGTGGCTTTGTTGTTCTTGAGAGAAAGATTTTTAAAGATTTTATTCCTATAAATTCCTGTCAAATTTTGATCCCCCATTGTGCCCCCCCCCGGGGGTCATGATTTTGTACAAACTTGAATCTACACTACCTGAGGATGATTCCATATAAATTATGATTAATTGTGGCTTTGTTGTTTTTAAGAAAAACAATTTCAAGATTTTTCCTACATATTTCTATGTAAAACTTTGATCCTCCATTGTGGCCCCACCCTACCCCTGGGGGTCATGATTTGAACAAACTTGAATCTGCACTACCCTGAGGATAATTCCATATCAATATGCTTAATTGTGGCTTTGTTGTTCTTGAGAAAAAGATTTTTAAAGATTTTTTCTATATATTCCTATGTAAAACTTTGATCCCCCCTTGTGGCCCCACCCTACCCCGAGGGGTCATGATTTGATACAAACTTGAATCTTCGCTACCTGTGGATGAATCCACATCAATATGACTAATTGTGACTTTGTTGTTCTTGAGAGGAAGATTTTTCAAGATTTTTTTCTACATATTTCTATGTAAAATTTTGATCCCCCATTGTGGCCCCACCCTACCCCTGGGGGTCATGATTTGTACAAAATTAATCTACACTACCTGAGAATGATTCCATATCAATATGACTAATTGTGGCTTTGTTGTTCTTGAGAGAAAGATTTTTAAAGATTTTATTCCTATAAATTCCTATGTCAAATTTTGATCCCCCATTGTGCCCCCCCCCCCCCCCCCCCCCCCGGGGGGTCATGATTTTGTACAAACTTGAATCTACACTACCTGAGGATGATTCCATATAAATTATGATTAATTGTGGCTTTGTTGTTTTTAAGAAAAACAATTTCAAGATTTTTCCTACATATTTCTATGTAAAACTTTGATCCTCCATTGTGGCCCCACCCTACCCCTGGGGGTCATGATTTGAACAAACTTGAATCTGCACTACCCTGAGGATAATTCCATATCAATATGCTTAATTGTGGCTTTGTTGTTCTTGAGAAAAAGATTTTTAAAGATTTTTCTATATATTCCTATGTAAAACTTTGATCCCCCCTTGTGGCCCCATCCTACCCCTGGGGGTCATGATTTGAACAAATTTGAATCTACACTATGTAATGAAGATCTCACCTAAGTTTCAACTTTTACAGCCCAGTGGTTCTTGAGAAGAAGATTTTTAAAAGATACCACTAAATTTTCTCTAATTCTTAATTATCTCCCCTTGAAAGAGGGTGTGGCCCTTCATTTGAACAAACTTGAATCCCCTTCACCCAAGGATGCTTTGTGGCAAGTTTGGTTGAAATTGGCCCAGTGGTTCTTGAGAAGAAGATGAAAATGTGAAAAGTTTACAACAACAACAACAACAACAAAGACGACAGACAACGGACAAATTTTGATCAGAAAAGCTCACTTGAGCCTTTGGCTCAGGTGAGCTAAAAATAACTTAATTCCAAAACATTTTGGGCAGGCAGTTTTTTTATGTAATTCTGTGAAAAAGTTGGGAATTTCAATCACCACATCTTCGCTAGCCAAGGGTTTCTGATACGCTACTCTCCTCATAAACCCTTGGCATACGGTGCTGACAAAAGACGGGATTGTTTTTGTCACGTGATCATGATTCTTACCAGGTACGCACAGATTGCGTCATCGAGAGAAATAAAAAGCGTATTTAAAAAAAATTTGTTTTTAAAAAATAATTAACAAGAAGGCATTGAGTTATGTTAATTTGTTATTTAAACATGTAAAAATGCAAATCTACATCTTCAGTATAGATTCTTAATCACATCTTTTGCACGTTGCTTTAGAAATTGGATGACACCATATTGCTATTCATAGAATGGCATGTTATCCTACGGATCATTGTTTACTTGCGTTTTACATTACCGATATTAAAGAGTCAAGATATATCCCGAACGCAAATATCGTCATTTACAAATCACAATTGCTGATTGGTCGAACGATGTCGATCAACTCCAATCACAACTTGAGAAAAAAATCTCAACTTTTTTTAACACCGTATGCCAAGGGCTTATGAGGAGAGTAGCGTATCAGAAGCCCTTGGCTAGCGAAGATGCAATCACCAAAGATTATATTTAACTGTTTTGAATTAAAACTGATCAAAAATGATATAATCATTAAGGAGGTAGCACATCTTAGATTATTATTACAAAATCATAAAAATACATAGACAACTTTACTTAACATGTTGATTTTACAGTCAAGAAAAGTTTGAATTTGAAGTGTAATTTTTAAAAACGGTGAGACAAAAAATTAAAAATGAGTAAAAAACAATTATTATTTTTATAAAATTCATGCATAATGATTTATAAGACTTTTTTGACAGAATTGTTAAAGAATTCAATATATTGCATATCGCATTAAAAATGTCAATCTTTTTTTTTTTTTTTTTTTTTTGCTCAATACACAGCCCTAGCAAAAATGATATACAACAAGGACTTTGATTGGATTATTAACATTCATTCACTTGATCATAATTATTAACTGTTATTGCACTTTCATTTTCAAAATGTTTTAGGTACATTGTTTGTTTATTCTTTTGCATTGATATTATAATTTATAAAAGAGTATTTTAGCAGAAAAAATTATCAATTTACCTTTCTTGGAATAAAGACATGTTGACCCTTGAGCTGAGATTTTCTCTCTTTCCATAGATTTGTTACACTGGGGTCCACATGATTCTAGCAGAGACCCTGTAAAAAAGGACTTAACTATGGAAAAGCATGAAGAATATATGCCTATTATACATATCTTAAATTCTAATGAAAACAATGTTTTCTAATTAAGATCCATATATTTCTAATGATTGACATAATACAAATTCAAAATAAAATATGCATCTCTATATTATACACTGTACCTTAAGCAGACCAATTGCATTATTACATCCTTCAGGAGACCAGCTTAAATCAATGTTTGAGAACTACTTTTGAGAACAATAAATTTGTCTACTTTACAGTACTAAATGTACATGGAATCTATAGGATCATGTTACTTTAATTGACCTGCCTTAGTTCAACACAGTAATCTAACAAAGAAATTGAGCCAAAACAACATTTTAAGACTTTTTGAACAGTGCATGTTCCTATCATTTCAAAACCATTACCAGTAAAAATGCTAATATAGGAAAATGATGACAATTAATTAATATTGTACTTTCAGGTATATTAGATGAATTAATCTGATTCGTCAAGAAACATTTGTTAAAAAGCACTATTATCCGCTGAATAATGAAGCTACGCCCAGTGTCGCAACAGTCAACATTGCTTGACGACGGGTGATATTCCAAAAAATAGTGACAGTGACTGCGCAGATTTATGCGCTCAAGGTTCACTATTATTTGTATTTGTATAAAACATTCAGTATAATATAATAAATATTGCATGTAGTTGAGTGTAACATTGAAAATTTTCACCCCTCGAAAACCAAATATGTCAAAAAGGGGATGGGTTTCTTTTCCAGCTTCTACATAGTTTCGCCCCTGCAAAAACTGGTATAGACCTTGGAAATGTTTAAACGGGCTAAGAGAAATCAAATGCATCAAGAGTACTTTTATTGTTTTTACCCAAGTTGCATGCCAAAAAAGATTCAGAGAGACGTCACATAAAGTTAACGTTGATTTGAACTGAAGTTAGGGTGTCAAAAGTCATTCACGTCCAAAAGTGACATTGATCATGTGTGGTAGATAATAAACCCCTACGAGCTAAATATGCTGCCATAATCAAGTGAGGATCTTTCCCTAATCCTATATATAAATCCATTTACAATATTATATGCACTTAAGCAGCTGTTTATGACATTGTAAAATTATATAAACAAGACCGGTTTATATAATTTATATCAATTTATATAATTAATAATATAATTTATATAATTTTATCAAGATAAGTGTATGGGGTAGAGGGAGCAGACATTGAGAATCAATGTTGTCGGACCTCATGAAACTAAACTAACAGTCTTCCAAATAACCCGGGAGTCCAATGCCAGGGACCTGTTAAATTTGCAGCCGGGCATGTAAAAATTGCCAAATTACATGTCCGAAGAGGGCATATGTGAATCTTCTTTCATTGTATGATCTTTACTTGCCATTTATTCTGTCCTACCCCCATTATTCGCTTAAACCTTGCTGTATGCAATGTCGATGGATTGCCTGTCTACATTCTCGATACGACCTGTCAAATGATTGTCAATCTAATCATTGAAGTGTTTAGTTTAACCTATTTGTTTTCTCGAAGTTGCTTGCTAAATTACGAGATGTTCATCAATGCCACATACTGTGGCACTACAGTCATGATCCCATTTCTGAAATTCAGTTCAGCTAAACCGGCCAACAAATGACCAGCATGCAACTCAAAAGTTATTTATGAACAAAAACGCTTTAGAGAATGGCAATCACAGGCCATGGTTGGTTTACGACGCTGAAAAAATTAATATAAAACCTTTATACCTAATGGTTTTTTTTTTGTTGCACAATACTGGTAAATGTAAGAATTTTGAGTAGGACATGTACAAATTTGAATGGGCTGGGAAAAAATGATAGGTCTACATGCCCGAAGGGCATGTGCTGAAAAAGAATTGTTGTGAAGACTGAACTAAAGCGACAGCGCCGGGTGATCATATAAAGTCCCCTTTATTACATAATAATTTGGCAAATTATCAACACATCAAGCTAAAATTTCCAACATATCTTAATGGTGAGAATTTTTCTTTTTTAAGTTGAAACCTCGTGACCTGTGAAAAAAATGAAATTTGTATCCCATCTAAAGTCTTAAAATGTATCAAGGTAATTTTTCGATACAAATTTGCGGTTGGGGTTATAAATGAAGGATAAAACCAGAGACCTTGGAATGGAATACTCGGAAGTCTCTGGTTTTATTCTACCCCCAACTGGAAGTTGTATCCCATCTAAAGCCTAAAAATATATCGAGGTAATTTTCGAGGAATAAATGAGTGGTTTACAATAAAGAGGCTCGACCAGAGACGTCTGAAACGATTTATTTGACAAGAAAAAAGTCTCTTGAAGCGAACGATGTCATTTTAATAATTTAAAGTAGGTTAATGATTGATAATGATACATGAACAAAATACGAGCTTGAAGCGGGGGTGCCTGAAATTGAGTTAGACACCTTGTGGTAAAAATAAGTAGGGGTGCACCGTATATGAAACAAGTGCCTGTGATTGATAGTCTGAAATTTCTCTTCACCTAAATATTAAAAGCTTGCAGTGATCGCTATAAATCTATACAACAGTCAAGTTACATACGGTAAACTAACATAAAAACAAGATTACAACAGTCATGATTACAGAAGGTATATTTTGAAGACGCTAGGTCAGTAAGTGAATGTAAACAGGTAAACACACGTGGGACAGTCACCGCAAATAAATGAACCACAAAACGACTTATAACATTAAAATGTAAATATTCATATGCACACAGATTTTTGCATAATAATGATAATTTTTAAAAAGTGTAAATTAAAATATAAAATAAACAAACCTCAAACCTTGTAACAAGGCTTGTTTCCCTGCAATCTTATTCTGGTTCTGTGGGACTCACGTAGGACTCATGTGGGACTTATTTTCTCCGTCACGTCCGTGGGACTTGTTTTAGTATCAGCGTTCTGGTTCTCTGTCACTGAAAATGCAGGGAACCTGGCTGCGTTATTAACTCGTACACAGATTTGTTGATACGAATAAACCTATAAACATATATATACGAAATAAAATATTATCATAAAAAATGAAGAATTTCAAATTGCTTGAAAAATTATCTTTATGTAGTTTATCATAAATGGTTGTAATTGTTTATTAATTTCTATCTATCCATTAAAATTTGATACGTATATTGATCAGCTTTTAATATGTATCCGTCTGAACAATTATTGTTATGACACTCCCTGTCACATCTTCGTAGTTAAGCCTGTAAGCATGGTAAGTAGGAATCAATTTCAGTTGAAGGGGACCAAAACCAAACATTTTTCAGTTTCATTTGGTGGGGGGGGGGGGGGTATAAACCTTCAAATGATCATTTTATCTCTGTCACTGAACTGCTGAAAATAATGAAGGGAACTAGGCTGCGACAATGATTTGTTGACTGAATTAAAATACGAAATAAATTATCATACATACGAAATAAAATAATTTCATGAAAAAATGAAGAATTTCCAATTGCTTGAAAAAAAAAGAAGCTTTTCATGTATGTGATTTACAATAAATGGTTGTACTTGTATATTTTCTATATGTCCATTAAAATTTCATAGTATCAGTATTTCACTATTTGTAAACATTAACAATAATATTAAATTTCGTATTTTGTGTGAATATAGAATTCCATTCTGTTTCAAAAGCAACATAAGAAGTGGTGATTATCAAGTTCAAACCAAGTTTATGTGATTTTGTAATGTGGATATGGAATTTTGAGTATTGTGTATTTGTATACAATTGTTTACCGTGTCGCGGAGTTCACGAGTGAGTACTCCTCAGGTAAGCCTATTGTCAACAATCATGAATTCTGACGGTGCAAACATAATGTTCAAGCCGATTTATTTGAAGAACAGAGATCTTCAATCTGACCAAAGTAACAGGGTAACTGATTTTGAACTCTATGAGGCGATTCATGATAAGATCGGGGATAACATTCACTGTATTCAGCGTGATAGAGACCTTTGGCGAGTGTATCTAAAATGTAAAGAGAGTAGGACAAAGTTGACCGTTGAAGGATTCGAGCTCCGTAACCTTTCTGTACAGGTATATGACTCAAATCCCTATTCTACAGGAGCAAAAAGTCCTAATGATCCAGTCCTAAAGGTCACAATTAGCGGATTGCCGTTATCTGTTGATGACAGTGCTATCCTTGAAATGTTAGACAGCTTCCAAGTAGAATTGAAAAGTGAAATTAAATACGAAAAAATCAGACACCCGACGACAAACCGCATGACAAGCGTGCTTAACGGCAACCGATTTCTCTACATAAAGCCTCTGGACACAGGAAAGTCCCTGCCTAGATTTGTAAAATGTGCGGATATCAAATGTAGATTGTATCATTATGGACAGGAGAAGGGTGAGTCTCAGATACAATGCTACAACTGCTGGGACACTGGGCACAGGGCCAAAGACTGTATAAAAGAAATAGCATGCCGTGTGTGCAAACGGCCTGGACATAAGCCGGGATCAAAAGATTGTGAGCACTACAGCGAACCTACTGATCGAATAGTGGTGTTCCAAGGAAAGGAAAACCCCTTATCTAACTTTTTCCCCTGTGATATCAAGGTCTTCGGGGAAACCCACAGATCGGCTGAGCATGCCTACCAGCTTACTAAAGCTCTTCGTTCTGGAGATTTCAACGCTACTGAAAACATCCGTATTGCTCCAACAGCTCTGGAGGCTAAGAGAATAGGAGATAAAGTGAAGATTCCAGAAAAGTGGCAAGATCAAAAACAAACGGTAATGGAGGAGATTATCCATGCTAAAGCTACACAGGTACCAGAACTTCGCGAGAAACTGGAAAATTCAGATGCTAGCACATTATTCGCCGAAGCCACAAACGATATCTTCTGGGGAACCGGACTTTATCCAGAAGCCACCCTCCATACAAATCCGGATAAATGGCCGGGTGAGAACAGACTAGGCACGGTTTTGAGTAAAATAGCATCAAACTTTACCAGGAAACTCAGAAGTAACTCAGTACAAAGGAAGAATACAGACGATAACCAGACTAATCTGGACGGCTTCATTCGAGAGGCAAGACGAAACTCTAACAGGAAGAGAAATGTAAAGGACCAGGGGTAATTAAGCATATCTATATAGCTTCATGTAAATGGGGACAAATCTACTATCATTCTATTCTATAAATGCACGAGGTTTAAATACTTATGGGAAAAGGATTTTGTTGTTTGAATGGCTCAAAGATGCAAATTTTGACATAATTTGTTTGCAAGAAACACATTTTGAAACAAGTGAAGCAATCTATAATTCACGTTGTATGGATATAAAATTCATAGTTTTTCTAATTCGAAATACTAGATAAACATTCTTCTATTGATGGTAGAAAATTATTGGTAAATGTTAAATTATCTGAACAAATTTTAAGTTTGGCCAATTTTTATGCGCCAAATAATGAAAATGAGAAGAGTATATTTTTACATAAAATGTTGAAATGGGTCAATAAACATGCTATGAATTTAGATAACTTAATAGTATGCGGAGATTTCAACTGTCAAATAGATATCATCGAAAATAATAGAAATGTAAAGGCTTTAAGAAACTTTATGAAATCATTTAATTTGATCGACTGTTGGTCCTTCAGTGATAAAAATAACGAACAGGGATACACATGGTGTGATGCGGACAATAATCCCAAATCTAGAATTGATTATGTATTTATGGCAGAAAGTTTCTGCTTTAGATTTAATCAAATTTTATTAAGAAAAGCTCCTAATTATGACGGGACAAGATTTAGTGACCACTTAGGGAGTGGTTATTGGAAAATGAATACGTCACTTTTAAACAAAGAAAAATTTTGCAATGAAATAAGAAACTTCATTAAAAAAGAAATATCTAGATTACATGATCATGACCCCATCGCTAAATGGGAATGCCTGAAAATATCAATTAAAAATTTTACAATAGCCTATTCTAAAGAAAATGCAATTTCCAAAAAAAAGCGAATTAATTTTATTGAGAATCAAATTAAAATATTGGAAAATAAACCCTATTCTCACATAAATATGAGATATAAACGTAAAGGGGCTTACATAAGATGGAAAAGGGCGAAAAAAGTACTGCATATTTTTTAAATCTAGAAAAAAAGCAACAGGGCGACAATACAATTAATAAAGTTACTAATGACGATAATATTGATGATATTATGAAAGCTTTAGTCGATTTCTATAATACATTATATAAGAGTAAAAGAATTTGTCATATGAAAAATAACAAATCTCCTGGATCAGATGGACTTCCAGCAGAATTTTATAAAATGTTCTGGAATGATATTAAAGATATATACTTCTCATGCTTAATTAAAAGTATTGAAACTGGAATTCTACCATTTTCACAACGAGACGCAATAATCTCCCTAATTTACAAAAAAGGTGAAAAAGATAAATTAAAAAACTATAGACCGATAAGTCTTACAAATGTGGATTATAAAATTTTTGCACAAATTTTAGCCTTACGATTACAGCTAGTTGCTAAAAATATTATAGGAAAAGAACAAAGTGCATATATCAAAGGAAGATACATCGGAGAAAATGCGAGACTGATACTTGACATATATGAGCACTGTATGAATCATGATCTTGATGGCATATTGTTATTTTTAGATTTCGAAAAAGCATTTGACTCTGTTGAGTATAACTTCATGTCTGCACTTCTCTTCATTTTCGTATTAGAAACACTTGCTATCCAAATTAGAAATAACAAAAATATACATGGTCTATCATTTAATGAAAATGCTTCAAAAAACATCAAGATAGTTCAACATGCTGATGACTGTACAAATGCATTAAAAGATACCAACTCATTGGCAACTACTTTAGATATTATTCACCAATTTAGTAAAGTTGCTGGTCCGAAACTAAACTTATCTAAAACTGAATGCATTTTAACTGGTTCCTTAATTGATAAGTACTGCAACAATGATGACTTATTTGGTGTAAAAATCGCAACTGAAAGTGTTAAATCTCTTGGAATATACTTAGGTCATAATAAAGACGTGTGTTATGAAAAAAACTGGCTAAGCAAACTTGAAAAACTTGAAAAAATCCTAAGTGTTTGGCGAAAACGCAAATTAACAATATTTGGAAAATGTACAATAATCAATACTTTAGCAATATCAAAGCTTGTGTATAATGCATTTATTTTACCTAATCCTGACAAAGACTTCTTTAAAAGGGTTTCAAAAATCATTTTCAACTTTCTATGGAACAAAAGAGAGAGAATTAAACGAAATACTTTGATTGGTAAAATTGAACAAGGAGGAATAGGGATAATTGATGTTGAAAGTAAATTTTCTGCTGCAAAAGCTTCTTGGGTAAGAAGAATTTTAGATAAAAATACAATCACGCACTTTACTTTAAACAGTCTATTAGAAAATAGTAATTTATCAATACATGATATTATTAAAACAACGAGTTATAACTTGGATGATAAAAACTTTTGGGAACTGACTAATTTCCCGCAATTTTATGTGGAAGTTTTCTCAATGCTTAATAAGTGTAAAAAATTCAAGCAAAGCAACAGTATTTTGAAGGAAGAATTTTTATCCCAATTTATCTGGCACAATAATTTGTTCCGATATGATTCCAAAACTTTATGTTTTGAACAATGGATCAAGAGTGGTATATTGTATGTGAAAGATCTTTTTGATGAAAATGGTGAAATACATGCACTAGATTACTTTTGGGATAAATTAAGAAGTAAAAACAATATTTACTGTGAATATATCATGCTCAAAAAGACGCTAAGACCTTTCAAATCAAAACTTGATTGTTCCTATGCAAAATATATTAACATCCATAATAATGACTCGTTTTTGTTTAGAAACAACTGTTTTAAGTCGACCAAAACTTTAAAAAGTGATTTTTACTACTCGGTCTTAGTTCAGTCAAAATTTCATAATTCAATTTATGAGAATAAGTGGA